TTCATGCTGTGTGGGCATTTTTCTATCTCGATGGCTTCTCTGATTATTCTGTTATTAAAATGTTCAGTTTTGGCGATAGTTCTGGTATTTTTAAAATCAATTTCATGTCCTGTGGCTTTAAGGTGTTGGACCAGGGAAGATGTTGGTTCCTCTTTTTTGACTGAGTTCTTATGTTCTTCAATGCGTGCACTTAGCCACTTTAAACCCCTCCAATCCATGCATAAAGCAAACTGACACCCACCATGAAGATGAGGCACGACCACGAACGCGAAGCCAAAAAGTAGCAAGGCAGCCCACCATCTCAAACTCCCCTGCAACTCAGATTAACCTGAGCACAACAAAGCCCCCACCCAAACAGAACATTCTCCCAGCCAATCAGAGCACAGCCAACCCCCCAGCCAATCAGCCAACCCCCCAGCCAATCAGAACACACCTCCACCCAATCAGAACACAGCCAAGCTCCCACCCAATCAGTTCATACTCCCACTGGTAGTTAAAAGGAAGAAACAGCTAAGACCACACATTGTTCCTCGAAGCATGAAGCTGAAAACACCAGCCTGAAGATGACGAATGGGACTTCGTTGAAACGTCACCAAGACACTTCCAATTTTACGTGGGAGAAAACCTATATATAATATATATACACACACACACATATATATTTAGATTGCTAACAAAGAATAAAAGGAGAATTGGAATAGCTATTTCGAGCTTCTTAACTCTCTTCAGCCACACATACCCTTCTGAGATTCGAACCTGGGCTGTGTGTATACTAGGCAGCTGTATTAACTTCTAGGCCAAACTTCTCACTTTGTCAGCTGTATCAGGGAGGGATATATATATATAGGTTAAAAAGAAGAAAAAGAGCGGGGTGGGGCGCTTTTTGGGCACTCAGTCTCTAAAAAGTTCACCAACACTGGCCTGGTGCTTCCTCTCTCAAATTATACTGAAAATTACAATGCAGTTTCACACACACACTGCTAGTTGAAAAAAAAATACTGTGTGTTAAAAACAAATGGCAAATGGTAGAGTTAGCAATGTACCACACTCTTTGTCATGAAAATAACCAAAATATAAATGAAAAGAGAACTGGGGGAGGGGGGGGGAATCCAGATTTTTAAACGAAGGTTTTCACTACAGAGATACCAGCAAATCTCTGCAGCAACTCCATAGAGGGAGACACAACCAGCAACTCCATAGAGGGAAACACAACCAGGTCCTCCTGGCAGGGCATATTGGGGCGGGAGGGGGGGCTTCCGCTGCACTGCTTCTAAAGATGTCCCCCTCAGGGGAGACACTTAGCCCCTCTCCTTCTGCTGATCAGATAGGAGAGAAGACACACACACCCTTTTCACTCTGGTTGTGGGACTCAGTGGATTCAAACTGATGTGTCAAATGTTTTATCAGTACTGTTTAACCGGTTTATTCGCCTTCATTATTAGCAAAGTTGAGTTGGCTAGAAAGGTGGCATATAAGTCAAATAAATAAATATTCTTACGTTGTGCTCTTTTTTACATACTTGAACACACTGCAGCTTTAATCTATAGCAGAGTACCAATAATTTACCTCTGAAAGGGGATTTCAAGCACTTTTTGTTCTGTAAAATTATTTTGCAGTAAACTCACACTAACACTGCAGTTTTGAAATGCTCACCCATTTGTATATTCTTCTTTGTTTAAAAGAGGGCAGTAATTTGCTACACAATCAAGTTCCAAAAAAAAGATCTAGAAATGGTGAGAAACTGGCAGGTGACATGCAAAACGGAAACACGAGTAGCTGAAAAGGACTGTGGAACAGCAATTAGGAGACACTCCAACTTTCCTGCAGCTGCTCAGCTGGCCTCTGTGTTCCATCCCCCACCAGAAAGCCAGGCTTCCCAGGGATCCCACACTGGTCTGCCTGACGTGCTGGGATTCTCACCGGCCAGTATTCTCTCCTGGGGGCTCCTGACTGAGTGGAGGACAAGCAGCCCCCTCACTTCCTCATGGTCAACCTTGCAGGAGAGCAGCCCATGAGACTCCCAGGCAACTTCCAACCAACCTTGGCTGCTTTGGGAGGCAAGATACGGTCAGATCTGATTGGTATGGATGGATGACACCTGGGAATCCCAGGGCTGTTGGCTAAGCTGGGATTAAATAATGGAACCCCAGAAAAAGGCCATGTCCACAATGCCGCCAAGGAAACAGCTGGGCAGTCCCTGGGAGCCGAGTTCAGAGGTGCCACATTTTTGCCTCAAGGTCCTGGCCTTTGGTTGAAAGGGGCTAACTTTCCCTTGGGCAATTTCCCATCCCCGTTGCTTTATATCAAAAACAGGCCTGCAGAGAAAGGCCCAGAAACAGGGATGTCAGGTTCCAAATTCTAAAATGCTCTGAATTGGGTTGAAGCATCAGAGATTCCGTTGTTATTGAGTGGACACCCCTTCCAAACCACGGTGGAAGGCGCCACGGGAAGCCATGTTGGAGGCCACAAGGAGCAGCTTGGAGCGCCTTGTCTTCCCTGAAGTCCTCTCCTCCACATGGAGTCACCCAAGTTGGTGACCGTGCGTGGGCACAAAAACACCAACCCCTCTTGGACCATCCCGCCTCTTCCATATTTGGCTTCGCCGGGTGTTCTAGGCGAGACTTCGGGAAACCTTCAGTGGGCCTCCACAAAGGGGGCACCCAGGATTGAGCAGGAGCACTTGGCAGAGCAACGCTATGGTTACCCATTTCACTAACTGCTTTCTGCTGGATTTGGTAATTATGGTTAGTCTCCCATTCACTTTTACCATCAGACTGATCCCATCGCTTATTTACTTTTGGAGGTGATAGCTAAGGGTTCCCAGGAAGCCAGCCCTAACCCTCCTCTTCACTAGATTTCTATCTTGGCTGTCCTCAAACTGATTACCAGGGTCTCCCCAAAAGAACAGTTCTGGGAGACACCGAGTGGTCAGAGTCACCCTGTGAGCCCCCAAGGCTGAAATGCTCTTGAATGTGACCACAGCCCCAGACTCAGGGTCCCAGACTGAACCCCTGCAAGACGGAGCCCCTTGCCAACTCTGTCCCGCCCCAGGCAGCCGTACCCTCTCCATTGTTCCTGGATGGCGGTCTCACGGGCGCGCCAAAACCCTCAGGAATGGCCAAGCCTTCCAGAGATGCTCCAGGCTGCTTGGAGGGAATGGCCAAGGATCGTTTACAACATTCCCTTCCGGGGAATTGAGTAATTAACTTGGGAAAAGTGCAGAACTTAAAATTAAAACATTTACTCAGTAAGCTATTCTATTAACAAGTTACTATCCTGGTTTTTTAAAAAAGGCTAAGTTTATAATATCCGTTTCTGGGAGGCGGTCTATCTAAGAGGTGCCAGTTGGATGATCCTGGTGGTTTTTCCCTTCTCAAACAGGGCGCTTATTGGGCTGTCCTTGGCCGGCTCCAGGAAATGGGCAGCTGGGAATGAAGACCACGACTTCCTTTCCAAAGAACACCAAGCTCAAGGTGGCGGGCCTAGGCGGCCACTCTCATCCCAGGTGCCACCCAGTTGGCAGCCTCCCCGCCACCCGTTGCAGTTCTGCAGAGAGGCAACCAGGAGGATGTTGCCATATTGCCCTTGCAGGGACTCAGCCCTTGAACCCAGCACGCCCTCCCTTCCTGCTCCAGCCCGCCCAGCAGGGCCTGTCACTGCCTGCTTCTGCTACTACATTGGCGGCAGGCCTGCTGGTTCCCAGCCTACCTGCCTCACCCTGCTGAACCGGCTCAGCCGCTTCAGCCGCACCCAGCTCCAGCGAGTGGAAGCAGCCAAGGAGAAGCCTCCTCCTCCTCCACCACCACCACCACCACCACCCGGCCCTGGCGGTGCTCCAGCAGCAAAAGCCAGAAGGCAGCCAGGAGTGGGTGGGAGGAAGGCCTCTGCTGAGCACCATGGAGGGCTGCCTGAGAATGGCAGAGCTCCGCAGAGCCAGTGGGAGTGTGTGAACCCAGCTCCCAGGCCCTTGGCTCCAGCCTTAGCTGGGCTGTGTAGGGAACTTCAGCCTGGCTGGCATCAGAGGGCCTCCCCCCTCCTGCCTGGCCTGCAACAGAGGCGGTCCCAGCCTCCCAGGGCCTCGGAAGTGGGGCAGAGAGAATGGGGAGTTGCTAAAGTTCATCCCAAGGGTTGAAAGTCCCCCTGGGAGCCCATCTTTCCCTAGCTGACTCCCCCATAGCGCACACTCAAACCAGGCTCCATTTTGTGAGATGGTATCAGTCCATAAGTGGCGGTAAACCAGGGGCAAGAGTTAACTCCGAGTTGGGAAGTTTCTTTCCGACTCCGGAGACTCCCCCATCCACGGATCTGCCGACGGGATCCAAGCGCCAGGTTGACTTCCTTCAGCAGCAGGGATTCTGAGGGCAGCCTCCGCAAGTGGGGCTGGGACTCAGCCCGAGGCCGGAGAGGCACCACGCGGTCCCTGGGCAGGCCCTATTCGGTTCGCGCGGCTTTGCAGAGTTGCCATCAGCCACTTGCCTGCCCCAGCACGTCCTGGGTGCTGCTGGCACAGCGAGCGCCGGGGAAAGTGTGGGCACGCATGGCGCCGGGGGGGGGGGAAAGCAGCAGCTCCCCTGGGCCGCCAGTGTCCTGTCTGGGCAGCTCAGGCCTCTGCGGGCCAGCGCCCTCCTCCCTGCCCCCAAGGGCGGGCCAGCAGGCCGGGTCCTGGGGCGCTCGTCCGCGGCCCGGCTGAGTTCAGGGGCTGCTGGCCCCTGGGCGAGGTGCGCCCGGCGCCCTTTCTAGGGACCAGCTGGACCCCGCTGCCCGCCCCTCGCCGGTCCCTCCCCCCTCGCTCACTTCCGAACTCCGCAAGGTGGCGCTTTTCCCGCAAGGTCCAGTTTCGCCACCGACCCGCTTCGGGGTCGCCGGCGCGAGAAAGGGGACCGGCCAGCCCGACGCGAGCCTCGGCGCTGCGCGGGGCAGGCAGGACCCGCCGCCTCTCCCCGGGCCGACCCGCCTCGCCTGCCCCTCGCCCCCCCCCCAATCCAGCGCTGCGAGCGCACCTCCTACCTTCCTGGGGTCTTGGGGCCGGCCGGCGGCTGCTCCTCCTGGACAGGGGGCGGCTTGGCCGCTGCTGCTGCTGCTGCTACCGCTGCCGCCGCGTTCCGAGGCTCTGGGGCTGGCCGGCGCTGGGCGGGCTCGTCCCCACCCCCAGCGCTCCCGGCGCCTGATTCACCTCGGAGCGAGCGCGAGGCTCCACCCAGGGCAGCCACGGAGGGGAAGTCGAGAGAACTCGGGCAGCGAAGCGAGCCGGCGGCGGCGGAGGGAAAGCCAGAAGGTGCTGCCGCTCGCTCTGCACATTCCTGGCGCGCCTCCGCCCGCCCCGCCTTGCCCGGCCCCCGGGAGCGTCGCGGAGCCTGGTGGCCGCGAAACTCCAGCAGCAAAGAGGAGGGCTTCTGTCCCGGCGCGGAGTCGGTTGAGCGCTCCGCCAGATGGCCGCCCAGTTCCTCGGCGCCTCCGGACCGAGCCCGCAAGCAGACGGACGGCTGTCCGGCCGATTGGGGCGGACGGGAACAAGCCGCCCCCCGCGCGCTGCTCTGCGGGCTCCGCGACTTCGGCCGCCTCCTGCCCTCGGGCGGCGCTTCCACGGAAGCAGCTGCGCTTGCGGGCTCGGCCGCCGGGGGCCGGCAGCAGGGCGGCCTCGGTGGGTCTGCTCGGGGCAGGGGCGGGGCAGCGGCCAGGCCGAGCTGGAACTCGGGAGGGGGGCCCGGCCGCGGCTCCTCCCTTCGCCTTCCCGTCGCACCTGGCCTGGCGCGGCCATCGAGCGGCTCGGCTTGGTAAGGGCGGACGGCCCCTGGCGGGCCGTCTAGGGGAGAGGCGGGCTGTGGATGCCCCGTCATCCCGGAGCTTTCTCACCCGACGGAAAAGAGCGACCCTGATCTCCTAGTTATCCCGTTTCAAGGTGGCGGGTTTCCTTGGCAAAGAGGGGCCGGATGTGTGAATCCAGCATTGAATCATGACATTGGAAGGGACCTTAGAGGGCTTCTAGTCCAACCCCCTGCCTAGGGCAGGAGTCCTCGGACTATTCCAGTCAGGTGGCTGACAACCCTTTCTTGAAAACCTCCAGTGATGGAGCTGCCATCTTTCTTCTAACTTTCATTATAGATTTAGCCTCCAGGCCCATCGCCGACTTTGTCACTCTTCTCCACCCTTTTTTCTGGGTTGCTCAGCCTCCGTATATTGTGGCCATCAGAACCGGTTGTCATTTGGGCTAGGAAACCCACTTATTGCCTCCAGCTCTTCATCAAAGTCATTGACCTGGATTTTGAAGGGTGACCACCATCACCATCCCAGGTCTCTACAGCACTGAGCACACTGGCAACTTCCACCCCCATTCTCTATCACTGTGCATCATGCTCCTAATCTGTACTTAAGTTGTCGCCTTGCCAGATTATTCACCAAGCAGGGCAACCTACCCCGCACTGACCTAGCTCGCTTCTCAGCATGATAGGGGGACCTTATAAGAGACCCATCGTGCCCTTCCCTCAGGGGTAAGCAACAGCATCCAAAGTGCAGTGAAAGAGTTAAGAAGTAGAAAGCAAGTGAAACTTGGTCCAGAAGATAAGTGAAAGGAACAGAAAGATAGCGAAATCTGATTTACACTGATACTACACCTGTCTCCTCCTCCACCTCACCAGGATTCCTGAAAAGATCATCCAGAAAGAAGGAAGGCAGTAAGACCTCTCCCCAAATCCCAAAGGGTGTCTTTTGTTTACAGGACACTCGGCCTTTCGCCGTCACCCTCCCCCCCCCCGCCTGGCTCTGAAATGGCAGAGGGGGACCAGGTGAGGTGACCAAGCTTCCTTAGCATATGGCAGTCCAGCTCAGGAGGGGAGTGGAAGGGAAGAGGCAGGCGGGCAGGCGGGTCATTGAATGGGTGGGGGAGGTTGCTGAGCAGAGAGTGGCCTGGGTGTGGGAGCCTTGAGGTAAGTGGGTGCGGGGCACGTGGGGTGAGTCCCCCCCCCATCTGTCTCGCCTCACCTCACCTCATAGTGACGGTTTGACGCGCACTCTCCTCCATTGTGACCGCGAGCCCCCAGATGGTGGGATGGAGTGGGTGGGCAGCTGCAATATTAGAATCCCCCAAAATAAGCCCTAATGGGTCTTTTGGTTATATATATATTCTGATATTGCAGCCACCCGCCCACTCCATCCAAACATCCCGGTCTTATTTTGGGGGAAACATGGTAGTACATGAAGGCAGAGATGATATAGTTGCCACTACTGAAACTTGATGGGATGAAACTCGTGACTGGAATGCACTGATGGAAAGATGTAAACTATTGAAAAGAAATGGACCTAACAAAAGAGGGAGGTGGAGTTGCATTATACATAAAAGATCACTACATCTCTACAGAAATACACAAAACCAAGGATAAAAGCCTCCTGGATCCATATGGGTCAATATAAAAGGAAAAAAAGAATGACATTGCTATAGGTGTATACTACAGGTCACTGTAGCAAGCAGAAGAAATAGATGAACTCTTTGCTAATCACTTAAAACAAATGTATGTAGAAAAGATACCACAGTAGTAAGGGGAAACTTTAACTATCCTGATGTCAACTGGGAGATAAAGTCTCCAGCAAGTAGGAGATTGAACAGATTCCTAACCAACCTAGCCGACATCTTTTTCACCCAAAAGATAGAGGAGGGAACTAGAGGAAAAGCTGTACTGGGCCCAGTACTTACTAATAGAGAAGAAGTGATAGAGAGAGTTGAAGTTGCCAGAACCTTGGGCGAGAGTAACCATGTCATTCTGGAATTCAATATAATGCAAACACAAGCAATAGAACATAATCCGGCCAGTATCCTAAACTTTAAAAGATTTTAACAAACTCAGAGCATTTAGGAAAGATTCCATGGATGAAAATCCTAAAGGAGAAAACAAGAAGTGTGGGAAGCAATGAAAAATACAATAATAAAAGTCTAGCCCATCACAATACCATTGAAAAAGAAAAACAAGGAATCCAAGAAGAAATGAGCATGGTTGCACAAAGATCTCTATGATAAACTGAAAGACAAAAAGGACAAGTACAAAAAATGGAAAGAGGGACATATAACTAAGAGAATATCAGCAGATAGCCCCAAAATGCAAAGATGAAGTCAGGAAATCAAAGGCTCCGAATGAACAAAGACTTGAAACAAAGATAATAGAAAAAGTTTCTTTCAACATATAAATAATGAGAAAAAAGTCAAGGAAATAGAAGAGAGAAGATGGCAAGGAAGTAACAGGCAGTAGAGAGAAAGCAGAGCTGCTTAACTCATTCTTTGCATCAGTCTTCATGCAAAAAAAAACTATAGGCCAACATACCAAAAAAAAAAAAAAAACCTGCAAAAGACAAATTAGAAATAAAAATGAAAATAAGCAAGAGAATAGTAAAGAACACCTTTCTGATTTTGACGAATATAAATCTCTGGGACCTGATGGGTTACATCCCAGAGTTCTGAAGGAATTGGCAGATGTCGGCAGATGTTATCTCAGAACCATTGTACCATATGTTTAAAAAATCCTGGAACACCAGGGAATTACCTTGAGGATTGGAAAAGAGCCGATGTGGTTCCCATTTTCAAAAATGGGGGAAAAAACAGACCCTGGAAACTACAGAGTAATCAGCCTAACATCTACCTGGAAGATACTGGAAAAGATAATCAAAAAACAGATCTGTGAACATCTAGAAACAAAGTTATAACTAGAAGTCAGCATGGGTTTCTTAAAAACAGATCATACCAAAACAATCTTGTTTCATTCTTTGATAAAACAACTAAATTGGTAGATCAGCAAAATGCTGTGAACATAGTATACTTAGATTTCAGTAAAGCATTTGACAAAGTGGACCACAACCTACTTCTTGGTAAGCTAGAAAAATGTGGGATAGACAGCATCACCACCAGATGGATCTGTAACTGGCTGACAAATTGTACTCAATGAGTAGTTCTTAATGGTCCACATGGAAGAAAGCAGTGGGGTACCATAAGGTTCCATCTTACTCTCCAATATCTTCATAAATGACTTAAATGAGGGGATTCATTTAAGGGGAACTCATCAAATTTGCAGATGACACTAAACTGGAAGGAATAGCCAACACCCCAGAAGACAAGCTTGGGATCCAAAAAGATCTTGACAGACTTGGACAATGGGCCCTATCCAACAAAATGAAATTTAATGGGGAGAAAAACAAGGCTCTATACTTAGGCAGGAAAACCAAATCTACAAGTACAGATTAGGTGAAAACTGGCTCAAAAAAAAAAGTTACTGTGAGAGGGACCTTGGAGTCCTAGTGGATGATCACTTAAACATAAGCTAGTGATGTGCGGCAGCAGCCAAAAAAGCTAATATATTCCTTGGTTGTATAAAAGAGGCAAAGAATCAAGATCACGTGAAGTATTAGTACCACTTTATAAAACCTTAGTAAGAACACATCTAGAATACTGCATCCAGTTTTGGTCACCACATGACAAAAAAGATGTTGAGACTTTGAAACAGTGCAGAAAGGAATAACTAAGATGATTAAGGGCCTGGAGACTAAGACATATGAAGAATGATCGCAGGATGACTTCCGGTGGATTTGCGCGTGCGATGGCGGCTACTTTGTAGCCGTCCTCCTGGGAAAGTGTAAGAACCGCTATGAACAGCAGACATCAGCTGTTCTGCGGTTCAAAATCTCCCTCCCAGGCAAAGGGAGGGAGAAGAGTATCATCCGAATAGTGGTAGAGCCTCTTACGCACCCCCAAGGTTTTCTTTTGGGGGGTGAAAAAAGTGCTCCCACGGAGTTCGGATTGTCTCCGCTTCCCAGCTGCTTTTGTCTCTAGGGACAAAACAAGCCGCTGCAACTACCTCCGCGATTAAAGAGATCTGGTGAGTTTTCTTTAAAAAAGCGGACAGAGCTGAGTAGAGGATTTTGTTTTTTCTGATCTTATTTGGATTTTAAATTTAAAGATTTACTTTTATTCCCTTTTTGTTTTTTTCTTTTGCTGAAAGGGAAAGTAAAATGGCGATCGGCAGGCTTTTTGGTGTTTTTTTTCTTTTTTTGACTGGAACAGAATGGAATGGATTTGATTATTTATAATGATGTTGGGTTTGGATTTTAGGAGGATTACTTTCCCTTTCTGTTTAACTTTTTTTATTTCTTGAAGGATTGTTTTTGTTTTTTGTACTTTTTTAAAAAAAAAACAATGGAATGGACTTTTTTTATTTAATTATTTTTTCTCTCTTTTCTTTTCTTTCTTATTGTATTTTATTTGGACTTTAGTTTGACCTCCCCCTTTTTTTTTCTCTTTTTGGGTAATTTTTAAGAAGGAGTAAAGATTTTTTAAGATGGCTCCAAAGCGTCCAGTAATTCCCACAGCTCCTAAGGTGGTCTCTTCTTCGGTGATATCATCAGTGCAACAATCTAAATTAACAGCTTCACCCTCTTCTTTGGCACAGCTATTAACGGTAAAGGAGTTGCAAGACATAATGGGAAATGCTATATCCCAAATCAGGGGAGAAGTGAAAGAGATTTTAGTGGAAAATAATAGGATTCTGAGGCAAGAT